TCCTACTAGGGATCCGGCATGAGGTTATGTTCTTCTAGGTTTGAACCTGGGGTTGTGTTCTAGACTGGGTTTACCCGAGTGGACAACTCGAGCCGAGGTAGGGGCAACGTACCGGGAGCACTAAAGTCTGCCCGGCCTTGATGCTAACCCATGCCTCGTTCTAACTGGTATTGACTTCTAACAGAAAGTGGGCCACGCGGACGTGTGCGCCAAATTTTAGAAGACTCATAAGGGTGGCGTAAGAAAGCATTTTAATAACATTCAAACAATATTGAAATGGCACACAAACGGCAATTAACGCATTGGGTTCACAGAATACAGTAATATCAATAATAAATAAAGCCAAGCAAAATCATATTACAAGCTCGAATTCTTGAACCCTGAACCAGTAGTTCTGGGATCTGTCCACAGTAGAGTCACCAGAGCTGTCACACCTCCTTTTTACTACCCCCGGAAAGGGGTATAAGGGAGTTTTTCCAATTTAAGTGACAATCGAAACGGGATTATTATTAAAGATCAGAGTCGCCACTTGGGATAGTTTATGGTGTCCCATGTCACCGGTTTAGAATCCTGAATCGAGGAGATTTGACTCTATTTATGTCTGCGAAACACAGAAATCCGGGTAAGGAATTCTGTTAACCCGGGAGAAGGTGTTAGGCACTCCCGATTTCCGTGGTTCTAGCACGGTCGCGTTGATCATACCTGGCTTATTAAATTGTCTAATTACTCATTTTAGAACCTATGTGCATTTGCCTTTTAAATTAAGAAATTATCTTTAAACAGGTCACGCGTACGTGTACCCGTTTGTTTGGCGCGTCAAAAATAATTTCACGCAAACGTGTCCACAATTAATAACGCTTTATTATTATTAAGAAAGTTTGGCCAAAGTTGCGCGAACGCATACTCCGATTTTATTTTTAGAATCGTAATTATGTCACGCGAACGTGTACACAACCACGATGGTATATTAACGTGCCTAATGAAAACTACGAAACATTCATTTTTTAATATCTAAGTTATAAAATTAATACGAGGGCCATAGGGATTCAACTATGGATGGCACACCTCGGCCTAAAAGAACTACATTTAATTAAAGAGGACTATATTAATTAACAAATTTATTGAGACAGTTTGATCGAAGTTGTGCGAACGCATACTCCGAATTGGTTTTTAGAATCGAAATTATGTCACGCGAACGTGTACACAATCACAATTGTATTTTACACGCGCCTAAGGGCTTTTCTACAAATATCCACTCTTATAGCTAATTTACAATATTTGTGAGGGTCACAGGTGATTTAATTAAGATGGCACACCTCACTCCATTTTTAAGAAATACTTAAATAGGCCTAAGGGTGTTTTTACTTACAACTAACTTGGACTCAAACCATTGATTACGGGTAAAGAAATGTAAACAGGCCTAACATAGTTCGGACAAAGAACTGGGCCAATAGCAGGCCCAGTACGTTATTAAACAGGCGTAAAATAATAAGTGGAGATGTCACCAATTGGGCTCAAAAATTAGTCCCAGGCGCAGGATCATAGGAGAAACTGCACAGAAGGGGTCCGGTTTTGGCTAAGAGCTATGATTTGGGCCATCAGCAGGCCCAATTTTTTCAATGATCAAGTTTTCAACATTAAAAAAAACTACTGAAGTCACAACAAAACTTTCTTTTAATTTAGAGCAGAATTTAACAAGAAAGAAACAATCAAGGCCCAAATACGATTGGGCTCCGAATGAACCCAAAAGCATGCGAGGCCCAGATCTGGTTACTCTAGGCCCCTTGATGGACATGGCTTGCTGATGAGGCCAAGATCAAACACACATATTTTGCAAAATAGGCTCTTAATGATAAGGCCATGGCTGAATTCATACTCCTTGATTCACAACTAACAACAAGAAAACTATATGAAATTCTGGGAAGTTAAACTTACATCAACGATCAGATTATAGGTTTCTTACTCAAATAAAGATTATAACTAATCTATTTGAACATGCTACCAGTATTCATAAACAAGTTAAATCCTGGATTCCTCTATAAATTACATGCCATTACTTATATAACTAATAAACATAAGTTTATAAAAAAAGGTCCAGTCCATTACAAGTTCCAGAATAAGAAAAGGATACAAAGTAGAAGTGACTATATCAACAACTTAAGCTAAATTAGTATAGAAAGAAAAGAGGAAATATTCTGAAGCTACTACTGCTCTCAGCTTCA